CCCCCGGCCCCGGCAGAGGGCGGTCGGGCAGCCAGGGGGACGGGGATCGGTTATAATTTGAGGAAACCACAGCAATTTGCCCCGGCAGAGGGCGGTCGGGCAGCCGGCGGGACGGGGGACGGTTATAATTTGAGGAAACCACAGCAATTTATTGTGGTTTAGACAATTATTCTGTCACCTGGTGTCACCTCTCGCCACCCGGGAAGGGGAAATCCGGAAAAAAGCAAGGAAACACGAGGGTTGAATACAGTAAGGCTAGATAATTAACGTTAATGACTCTAAAGAACCAGTATTGATCCCGATGCCAATATAAAATCCACCAGGATCATACCCACCCCAGGCAGCCGTGCACTCCCAGCAGGGACAGTCCATGTGGGACCCTGCGGGCGCTGCGGCTTCGGGAGGAAGGGAAGGGATCAGGGCTCCTGAGGGCAAGGAGTTCTCAGCCATCAGAGAGAGTTAACTCCTCAGCAAACTTTCTAATTTATATTGAATGTGACGTTTGTCGTCTGAAATAACCCCCTTGGCAGCTTGGGTCAAGTGCCCAGGTCTCGCTCCTCCTTGTCCCCCACACCTGGTGAGCTCAAAACCACCAAGACCTTGAAATCCGCACCCCAGAGCTGGCTGTAAAGTCAATATTTTCCCAAATTCAGACACTGGAGTCTTCTAAAAGTGCAGTTTTCCCAGACAATAGAAGAGGAATTAGTGCTGTGTCGCTCAAACCAGGACAAGGTCATAAATGGCGTCTGGTTTTTCATACCGTCTGACAGCACGGGGATGAGTGTGAATAAATAATGCTGTAGTATTGAGGCGGTCAAAAATGGCGTCTGGTTTTTCGTACCGTCTCACAGCACGGGGATGGGTGTGAATAAATAATGCTGTAGTATTGAGGCAGAAAATGCTGAATTAAGTGACCATATCTTGCTCTTGTAGTGCCAGTAGTAGATGTTTATTTCTCTGCACAGCACTGGCTCCTTGTTTCCATGTCATGTTAGCTGGGTGTCAGGGGCACCTCCAGTAAACGCCTTTCTTTACGCTTTTTATTTGAGCAACTGCAAGGTTTTTGACATACCAGAGGCTCCTGTCCCATCCCTGAATCCACACTGACAAACCTGAGAGGGCAGCTCAGGAATGGGTATAAATGGGTGAGTTTAGGGCTTGGCTGAAAGCGCAGGAGGTGATGTTGCTGGTTGTCTTCTCCCTGGAGCTGCAGCCTCAGGGCATGGCTTTGGGAAATTTTTTATATCCTGCTCCAACTTTTCAGGGGAGGTGATGTTGCTGGTTGCCTTCTCCCTGGAGCTGCAGCCTCAGAGAAGACATGTCTTTGGTAAATTTTTTATATCCTGCTCCAACTTTTCAGCTTCAGATTTCCCATGCTGTAAAAGAAGGCAAGAACATTTTCATTAAATGCCAGCTGAAGGCTTAGCAGATGCTTATGAAGTATTTTGTGACCCTTGTCGTGAAGGGTTGTGAAGTGCAAACGAGCATATATTGGTATTTCTGAAGGCTGTAACAGCCTTAAAGATAACCCAGAACATGGTGGTTTCCTTTCAGCATTTTCGTGGAAGGAAGAACCGCTGCTATAAGCTGGCTGTACGGAGCGTTCGCAGAGCTTTCGTGAAGTCTACAAAGGCCAGAAGAGAGAAGAAAAGATTCCTCAGAGCGGTAAGAGAGCAAAAATGATTTATGTATAAATATTAAAATGGGAGAAGAGCAGAACTGAAGTACCTATTTTCCCTACTGGTGGGTTCTCTCAAAATGTTTAGCCAGTGGGTGATAAATATGATTTTAAAGTAAGCATAGTCCCTCTTTGGTCTGGAAAAGCTCACATCCTGAAGTTCGTACATGTATATGTTGCACTTGATACTGCAGGTCTGAAATGTTATATGTACTAAGTGTGAGCAGATCAGATGTAGAAAGGTTTACTTTTAATGTATTTTATAATTTGTATACTTTCAGCTGTGGATCACGAGGATCGAAGCAGCTTCTCTTGAACATGGTTTGAAATACCCGGCTTTCATAAGCAATCTGCTTAAGGTAAGGCTGGTGCTTGGAGAGTAATGAATTCAAAACAACAAATTGGTGAAAATGTCTGATAGAGGTTTTTCAAAGTGCCAAATTAATGTGTTGAAACTCTGAAATCTGGTTTTTCTTTTTTTTTTTTTCCCCCCTCAAGATGACTGTCCCTTTGATTCTTGGCTCAGAGCAACGTATTTTTATAAGGTTCTCTATACAAAAGAACCAAACTTTTCATAGAATACCCCCCCCTTAGAATATGGAGTTAACTGTGCAATATCTAGCCCTGTTAACAAGTATTTAATCCTGCAGTCTTTCTTCCTCTACTCCAGGACAAATTTTAACGTACCAAGCAGCTTCTAGCATAAGTAAACCTGAACATATCTAAGAACTAAAACAAATGCCTTGGATTAACCTGTAACATGGCCTTCCATGAAATGAGAGATTCTTCTTCAGTTCTTGGTTTTTACCAGAAAGACTTTGAGAAAGTCAGTAAAACTGATCTTACACAGTGGCTTAATGAGACATCCATGGCCGAGTAGTCATGTCTGACCATTCTCTAATAGTTCCAAAATTGTACACTGTAGAATTGTGCACTTAAGATAATTTGCCTTAAGACCTCAAGTAATCATTAAGCATTTCACTGTTGCTCCTAGAAAGTAACCCAACGTAACCAATGAATTTTCTCTCATTTAGTCCCAGGTGGAGCTGAATAGGAAAGTGATTGCTGATTTGGCTATTTATGAGCCAAAGACATTCAAGTCCTTAGCTGCCTTAGCCCAGAGGAGGAGACAAGAAGGCTTCCTTGCTGCCCTGGGGGACGGAAAAGAACCAGAGGGGATATTTTCACGTATCGTACACCACTATTGATGTTAAAACAGTCTGCAAATACGTGTTATAAAGAGGAACTTGTATTACAAAGTAACCTCGCTCACTGACGGCTGCTGAGAACCGCAGCTGTGGAACAAAATCCTCTCAGAAGTGTTTCTGAGGGAGGCCGGGGCAGGCCGGGGTGCCAGGCAGTGGTCAGTGAGGCCTGTAAAAGCTCCAGCGTTAATTCCATACTTAGCGTAAGGGCGTTTTCTGTTAAGAACTTAATAAAGATATTATTTTTTTTTTTGGTAACTGCTACTCTAGAGGCCATTTGCGTGGTGAATTCTGGCGCCGCTCGGGGTGGGAT